ATTACAAAAAAATATTATAAGACTTTTTTTATAAATCATTTTACCAATTTAAAAAACAGATATTCTCAAAAGATTTTATATTTTTATAATAATAAAATCTATATACTGTGATAGAATAGATAACTTGGTTTTATTTTTACTTATTTTTATTATTAGTTTATTTTTAACAGTAGAATTTATTATTTTAGTATAGTATAAATATCTATTTATAGTACATGTAACATAGATCAGACAGCCTAGAAGGTCCAAGTAGCCCAGAAGGCCCAAAAGACCTATAAGGCCTATGATCTATAAAATTATGACATCACAACATGTAGATTAGGTAGCCCAGACAGTCCAGACAACCTGGATAGCCCAGATAGTCTAGGGTAGAAAACATTATATAAGTAACTGCTGTCCATGTAATTTTTACTCAGTTCTGGATAACTTAATCTTGTAATCGTCTGACTTTTGTCTTGATGTCTTAATAAAACACTCTTATTTTATTAAATACATTTTGGTTACAAAGATTCATTGGAGAATCTTTGCCATATCTTGGAACATTTATAGGAGATTATTTCTGAAATGACAGACTGTTCTATATAATCTCTAAATTCCTTCTAAAAACTACCACTTGGATATGAATCAAACAGATTTTGATCATATTTTTGGTGACGATAACAGGACAGTTGCCTTGAAAAAACAGATAATTTGGAAAATTGAAGGAATATTGTCATCTGAAAGGAACAACTACTTGGAAAATTGGAAAAGGGACAGTCTCCTTAAAGGATCTGTCAATTGAAAGGATTGCATTTGCAACACATATTAGGATTGGACAACATCACAAGTATCATCGACACCAAGGCATTTTTCTGCTATCCATTCTTACTTTAATATCAGCCCCTTACTTGAATCAAGTGAAAACAATCCGACCACACCTGAAAATCACTCTATTACATCTGAGCAAAGTTTAAGTACATGACTCACTCAATCCATGGATCGAAACAATCAAAGGCAATATCCATTTGAACTTGGATTAATACCCACACAGCAAATAAGGAATAATAGTAATAGTGATAGGCAGTTACTACCAATGCTATAACAAAGAGAGAAACAATCATACTGAAGGAATAACTCTCAGGATAAGGAGGATGATCAAAATCGACAGAAGGAGGATTGACAAAGCAATAGAGGAGACCATAGTGATGAAGAAGAACAAAGGAGTCATATTAGCAATAATCTATTAGGATAAAACCCAGAAGAAGATTTGGCTACCGTATTACAAAATTTGGATCAAACCATATGACAAGTAAAGTTTCAAAATGAAATAAAGAAAACTTATCTGATACCATTACCTACTTTTGAAAGAGGAGAACAAGACCCGCTCGCTTGGTTATATAGCTTCCATAATGCTTGTATAGCAAATAATATGATAGAGGAATGATGATTGGATCTTCTTCCAGTCTATTTGAAAGGAATCGCTTATATCTGGTGGATGGAAATAGGATAGCGTATTAACTTGTGGGACAGTAATACATATCCTAACTGATCATTTACTCATTGCTTTCATCACAAATGATGTACCCCTTATCAAAAATCAAGGTGGATGAATCAATTAAAGAGTCGAATCCAAAAACCTGGAGAAACTGTTGATGAATATTGGGATGCAATTATGGCCTTATACTACCGAGTAGATCCAAATGAAGAATATCCAGTGGAGAATAAATTATAACAATTTGTTAGTGGATTAAGGAATGAAATCAGGGAACTGGTGGAAATATCTATTCCTGCTGACATTGAGGAAGCCCTCAATCGAGCACGAGCAGTGGAATCAACTTTATCTAGGCATGCTCCTTTGAGTGCCTACTTAATGCTTCCAAGCTCCAATAATACTGGTCATGAACTATAGGATATTCGAATGGCATTAACACAACTAACGCAAGGATTTCAACAACTGGCCACTCAACAAACCTCAAGAAAAAATACTGACAACAACAGTAACTCAAGGGAAACACGTATCTATAATAAATGTGGAAAGAGAGGACATATTGCTATCAATTGCAGATCTTACTAGTCTAATAATCCAAGGAATAACAGTAACAATAGTAGGAGATCCAATTACAACTACAACAATAATCAAAGGAGTAGAAATTGCTTCATTTGTAACAAACCTGGATATTTGGCAAGAAATTGTTCTCAGTGCAATCAACAACAGTCATCGAATCAAGGGGCTAACAACCACAACTAATGGATGAATGTGCCGATGGGAGACTTTTTGGAGACCGCCAAACAAGTCAAGAAGTCTTTAAACTAATAAAGGTACCTCTTAAGAGTAAGCATACCTCTTTATGAACAAATCTCTCAAATGAAGAAAAAAAGGCTGTTGATGCGATACATTGTGAAACTTACTTGGATGGACAACTTATATATCTTGTGATTGATACTGGATCTACAGGAAGCTTAGTTTCAAAAACTTTCTTGAATAAATTGGGAAGAACAATCGATAAACCATCTAAGGTTAATCTGATAGATGTTAATGAAGGAAAACAATGTTTCTTGGGAAAAGTAAAGGACTTACTGATAAGCATTAAGGGAACAACAATATCAATTGACATGGACGTGTCTGAGGCAATGACTTATACCGTCATTGTGGGAAATGACTGGCTGACAAAAACAAATGGGATTATAGATTTTAATCATGGAATAATAGAATTATATTATAATGGACAAAAACTTTGTTATGAAATCTCTTGTTAGGAAAAACCAAAACCTGTTCAAACCTGTTTATAATTAATTTTCATATTAAAAACTCTTATATATGTATAATAATAACAATTATCTACATATATTTAACAATCAATTAAATTTTTTTATTTCTTAACTAAAAACAATACTTGTTCAAATTTATTTATAACCAGTTTTTATAATAAAATTTTTATATTTCTACAATAACAATAACAATAGTTATAATAATAATAGTGATAATAACAATAAACTGACAATTTATCAGATTGAAAAAGTATATGATCTATACTTTATATGGGTTCTGGTAATTCTTAACTTGATATATATTCAAATAATACAATAAGCAATTGAAATAGACTCCAGTTATTTAACTTACTAAAAATATAACCATACTATATAACATCTAATTACATAAACTTACCTATTATTTTTAATAATAAAGTTGTATTTTACTAGTAGCAATGTTATTATTAAAGAAAAAAGGTAACTAAAATCTAATTAATATAAATAAGAGCAATCTTATTTTAAGTAGAAGTAAAATACCAGGAAGTTATATTTCATAATCTGACAGCTTATATCAATATTCTACTAATATTGTTGAAGTCATATCCAACTGTTAAAAAGGAAGCCTTAAATCTAGGTAGACATATTAAATTTGTACCTTGCAAAAGAAATTGTTGAACAAAAGATAATACAACTCTAAATTCTATTACATATTATTACTTTAATATTTTTCTTATTATAAACACAAACTTATGCCTTATATAATATGAAAAATTAATATATCAAGATATATAAATAATTTTACAATATAAATACTTTCTCTCTTTTAATCAAATCTTCTATATTCTTTTTACAATATAATAATTCAATTCAAAATATTTTTATTTTTATTTTAAATATAAATAATTCTTTTCTTTTTTTCTGCTTAAAAATTTTTTTAAAAATATATTTATTATAATAAATGGTAAACTAATATATATACAATGTATTCATATATATCATATCTTAATGTTAAATATATATATATTTAATTATTACTTTTTTAATAATGATCACAAAACATGTTTTATCTTAATATAAAAAAAAAATCATCTTTTTATAAATTTTTAATAATAAAATTTTTATTGTATAAAAATCAAAAAAATCAAATTTGAAATAGAAATTAAATTATAGAATTCAATAAAACTGTTATTGTTAATAAATTTTTGAATCAAATTGATTTGAAATTATTATACAATTTCTATATAAGAAATAAATTGTAATCAATTGTAAGATTTTTAAAACAAGTTGATTAAAAACTTGATATTGAGATTTTTAAGGATTGTGTAAATTGAAGCAAGAAATATCAATATTCTAAATGATCAATAAATATTATAATAAGAATTTCTATTGGTAAAATATTTAATTCAAAATATAATTAGTATTATAAAGGTATAGGCTTTCGGTAAATAAAAATCAATATCAAGTTTTTTTTTTGGTAATAAAGTAAAACTTGTTAAAATCATTATAATTTCCGATAAGGACTACAATTACACTAATTGTGACTATTTGTATTGTACATACGCAGGTAAAAACTCGAATTTTTAATTACCGAGTTGATCTTATCTCAAAATGGATTAGTGTTTCGTACGTGATTACATAAGATTTGACGCGAGAGCGAAAAACATGCATTCACCTTCGTCTCTAATTGCATTATATGCATTATCTCCACTTTACTCTGAAATATGGTTTTATATATACCACCAATATTATTTCTATAATTCAGAGATTAATTTCAATCATATTTTTTTTTGTCTATAAATGTACAGATACGTGAGTAAAGATTACAAATCATAGAAATGAAATTAGTATGTACAAACAGGAGAACAAATTAAGAATACGCCTCGAAACTAATCGACAGAGAATTTGTCTTTATATACTACTCAGATAGGCATTAAAAAAAGTCCAAAATCCCTTTAAGAGAAGATTTCTTGTTTCACCTCGAACTCGGAAACAAGAAACGGATTATTTGATCCTCGCGTACAATCCCGAATCCACTCGATCCTCTACATCGTTTAATCAATATTTTAGAACATAATTAAAATAAAATAAAAATTCTGTGATCAGTTAAACTAAATAAGAAAATAAGCACATCTTAGTAATTTAATAGGGTATATCAATAGAAAAGTTCTAGGTCGAGAATTGTCCATTTGATCCTTACACTAAGCTATTGTTTTGGACTATTATTTCGTGTTATCAAGGTCGCTTAACTTCCCCTAACTCGATGACACCTCTCAAATTTCAGACTCTGAGGAAACAAACCTCCTATAGTTGGGGTTCTGATTAACTAGGTTGACATAATATTGTTGCAATATTTCCTTGGTGCAGATCAACTGCCAATCAATAAGTGGTAAGAATTCCAACTCTAGAGTGTTGAGTTCTTGGGTGGTTATTCCGCCTACCTTTGCGTAATGAGAATTTGCGTGGTAAAAATCACACAAGGCTTTAGATGATACTGTAACCGCGGTAATGATGAATCGGTGCACGGTCAATGAAGTAATTGTGAATGTTCTGTTCCGTTCACATACTCGGTCTATATATATCAAGATTAACAGAAGACAAGGCTTTTCTATAGTGGTGTACCTTACTATACGACAAAGGTAGTCAGAAACTGAGATGGAAGGTCTTGCTCTAGAATGGAAACGAGATATGCTAGAAGGTGTCAGAGGAATCTGATCGTTATGAGCAATTAGACGATCTAACATGTCGGCTGGAATTTGTTGTTTAAAGGAAAATTAAGTGTGTCAACATCGTTAGACTAAAGAATCATGAACAGAAAAAGAATTGGACTAACCGATCATGTGTGTCAAATGATTAATGTCAACCATCTCGAAATTCTCGGGAACTTCAATCACCTGTTGCGAAGTGTGATTCATGTTGATGCATCACAGCCAATGTATGTTGCCCAACAGTGGGAATGTATACAGGAGGTCGTTGAAAGTAATAAATTCTCTACTTCTGTTCTTAAATTTCTTTTACTTGTATTGCGGTTAAATTAACTTTTTAGACAGAAGGTTCCCAAATAAGAAGGTTGACTTCCAATGTGACTGAAAGAGAATGCAACCGCGCGACGTTCACATATGGGTTGAGAAAAACAAAGATTCCGAGATGGTTTGTTGGAATACAGATTTCTTACATGCGAAGCTGAGATTAAATTCTGTCCAGCCGTTTGATTTGATTTCCTTTTAACTCAATATGATTGGCTGAATTTATTTTTTTTTTTTTATTACAATTTATAATATACAATTACTCCTTGCCAATATTGTGTAACAACTTTACTTAAAAAAAATCACTTAATAATTTGGATAACCATGACACTGACGGCAACCAAAATTCCAACAAAAACGGAAGTTAATCTTCAAAGATTATTAGCCGTATGCGAACAGTATGCCTCGAAGGAGAATGGCTTAATTCGTGGACCTGAGAAAATGAAATATGTGACGGCACGTTAATTTTAATGCAACAATTCTTTTTATTTTTTTTTTCTTGTTTTAACCATAAAATAACGGTCTCATTGATTAAACAGAATATAAAATATCTTCGTAAATTATTAGAGCAAATCGAGAAAGAAGCCAAAGAGTAAGCACGATTGGTCCGTATCGTGATTATTTATTTGTTTATTAATCAAATGTTATTGCTTTCATAAGACAGGTAGACAAAACAGCCATTAGCGAGTACGCACGTAAAATTCAACGTCTGTCTGATATTGTCGACGAATTTAAATTGGTATGCGAATAATTGAAAATATCGATCTGATAATTTTTTTGTTTCTAATTTAACAATAAATGGTTGTCCAATTTGATAATTTGTAATTTGTAGATATCTCCTGTAACTCGAACCTTTTCGCAAGCGCGTTTCATAAAACATGCACATCAATCACAAGATGAAAAGAATAAAGAGAATCAACTGGAACTAAAAATGGTCAGGCAGGCCGAAAAAGAATTGAAAGAAGAATTGTTGCAGGTAGCCTGGAATTTCTAAATCGCCGTTTTTAATTGGTCATGAATTAACGAAATCAATTTGCTTCTTTAGCCTCCCACGCCTTCTTTTCATACGGAGACAGAAGATGCTAGAACATATTCCGAAAAAAGATCAGGTGTGTACACTGTTGCACGCTATTTAAAAACGGAAATACCATCCATTAACATCATCTTTTTTCGACTTTAGAATTATTTTCTTCCGACAATTCAAGCTCTGATTTGAGACAGCGAAGGTTTGATATTACTATTTTTTATTATTTATTTATTATTTTACTTTTTTTTTAAAAAAAATTCTAATGTATGTGACATTTCAAAGGCCAATATTTGACGAAGAAGACACTTCTAATATTGAGAATGTTTTACAACATCACCGGAAAACGCAGGAAGAACTTACGCACGATTTAGTGAAGATGGCAGAAATACTAAAGATGAATTCGGCAATATTCGGTGATATCTTGTCAAAGGATGAAAAGGTACTATAATTTGAACAAGAAATATTATGTCGGGATATTATATATGCTGAAAATTGGTTAACAACAATTAAATTTTCATAGATCATTGACGAAGCGCAAAATATTCTTGGTACCAATCTAGATAGATTAAAAAAAGAAGGTTCTAGGTTAGTCGAATATGCGGCACAATCCAGAAAGACTACGTGGTTGGTTTGGTCTGTTGTTGTACTCGTGTGTTTCACATTTATCCTAATGTTTATGCTGATTCGAATAACATGAAGTCGATGACTTATGACTCCGATTTATTGTTTTTATTCCAAACTTATTGATTAACTATTCCATTTAATAATTATATTAATTACCATATTTCTGTGAGATAGAGGAAAAGAACTCTTGAATTACATATACATTTTTGGTTTAATGATTATAATAAGTCTTTATATTTTAGAGGAAGTTTGACATTGAGACGTAAGAAGACGAAAGTGTACAATAGGAAAAATTCATAGAAATCAATTACACTAAAATTTAAAACCATTCAAATAAATACATTTTTATTTATTTTGAATATGAACAGCATTATTTGCAGTTAATATTGCGACACCTAAAGAATTTTTTTATTTAATGAAAAAAATTTTTTATAATAAAATTATATCTATATAATTAGAACATATTTATTTAATATCAATATTTATTGGCATGCTACAATTTATTGTGGCATACTTGTAATCAATTGCTGATATATCAGTAAAGATACAATATATTATTTCAATATTGAATAACTTAATTCAAATTGAAAAGATTTGTTGATATAGCTTGAAAAATCAGTTGTTAATATATTATAGATTTTTAATAGGGTTAAGATCTGAACTTTGAGATAATCAATTTATAATGAATTTTATTGGTGTTAAAAATATTATATAATTTTTACAATATACAAAGATTATGTAAAAGTCAAGAATAAAATTTTTTTAAAATAAAGACTTTTAGATATAAACAAAATAATTTTGTTAAAGATCAAAAAAACATTTTTAAATATATTTTATCATTATAACCTTTTTTAAAATAATAAATAAAAATTAAATACAGTTTGTTTAAAAAGTCTTTAAACAAAATTTTTATTTTTATTTACAATTTCAATAAATAATTGATAAAATAAAATAAAAATTTAATTATATATTAATAAGAATATAAAAAACAAATTTATTGAAATTCATTAATATATCAAATCAAAAAATTTTAAAATATATTGATTTAATTAAATTATAATAAATAAATTATGACCTATGGGTCTATAACATAGTAATAATTATATATGTGTTTATATTCCAATAGAACTATTTCAATATAGTATCATATTAATATTTATAAATATAATAAAAAATATTAAAAAGCAATATTAACTAAAAATCATAATTAAATAACAATCATAATTAAATAACAATCATAATTAAATTAGAAATTGTAATAAAATTAGAAATTGTAATAAAATTAGAAATCATAATAAAATTAAAAATTGTAATAAAATTAGAAATTATAATTAAACTAGAAATCATAAGTAAAATTGAAAATTATAACTATATAAAACAAATATTATATAAATATATTTATAAATATCTGTTTTATGATTTTATATATTATAAGATATTTAATGAAACAGAATCAAATCTTAAAACTGATATATTGTTCTTAAGTTTTTCTTCAGTTAATGAAAATATTTCTGGTACAAAATCATAACCAGGATCAAAAAGAAGAACAGTATAACAGTATTTTGAACCTATTGATTTAAAAAATAGTAGGTATCAAGGATAAAGTACAAATATTGCAACTGGATACAAAAAACTGGCAAATTCAATTTAATGAAAGCATATTTAGCAATTAACTGTTACAAAGTATCCAAGAAAATAAAGACTATTTATTTAAATTTAATAAGTAATAAAGATAATCTCAGTATTAACAAATAGCAAACAAAAAAACAAAAACTTAATATTAGCAAAAAAAAAATAGATGATTTTACCAATCTATAACAATTAATTTTGAAACAGTAAAATTAGTAAACAAAGCTTTAGTAAAATTTTTTGTTTGCTGTAAAATTTCATTTTCAATTACCAATTATCCATTTTTTTATAATTTTATTTATATTTCATATCCTAACTATATGCCATCTTGTCGAACTAAACTATCTTAAGAATTACTTGATAAAGAGTTGGCTAGAGTTTTGCTTAACATCAAACAAGAATTAAAATATGAAGACAATTTAACATTAGATATATTTAATATTTAATAATATATAATTTTATCATTGTTTTTATATTAATAGTTTTATAATTTTATAATCTTTAGGACTTGATGGCTGGATTAGTTTAACTGAACAGTCTTTATATACATTTATTATAATAATTTTCTCAAGAAAAGAGTATATTTATGCTTTAAAAGATATATCTCTTTTTTCATACACTACTGATTTTTTTGAAAAAAAAATAATTAAAATTTTAGAAAATATTGGATCAACTAAAATCAATACTATTGTTACCAATACTGCTAGTACTTTGGTTGTAGCCAAAAAAAAAATTATTAAAAAATATCTATATATTGTTTCTTTACGATATATTGTATATTATATTAATTTGATAGTAGTAAATGTTATAAAAACAACTTTTGCTAAAAACATTTTAGAAAAATATATCAAGATTACAAAATTTTTTAAAAAAGCTTATTAAGCAGAAGATTATTTATAAGAAGAAATTATTAATGAATTGGTTGCTGAAGAAAATTTAAAAACTTATATAAAAACATAATAGTTTTCTGCATTTGACAGTACTGACTTAATTTTATAATTAAAAACTTGTTTTCGAAATGTAAGTATTTACAAATTTGCAATTTGTTAATATTTTAGCAACTATTTATTAATATTATTTATTTAGATACTTGAACAAACACCTGAAATTTTAGATAAAAATATTATAGAAATTCTTTGTAACAGATAATTTTTTGAAAATTTAGAAAAATTAAATCAAGTTTTAATACTGATTAAAAAAGTATGCAAAACTATTGAAGGAAAAAATACAAACCTGGTTCAACTTGTTTAGTTAGCAATAGAAATTTGAAATTTGCTTAACAATTTCAATCAAGATTTTCATTAAAAATATATTTCAATTTTTAATAAACAATGGTAACAATTTGATATCAAATTATATATTTTGGCATATTTTTTATATCCACAGTATTGGGATTAGTGTTTTTTATTTAAATATATTTATATATTGCAAATTAATATTTATACTGATTTATTTTATAGGTAAAGGTATATATCAAAATCAATATTGTGAAATATATAGAACAACTATAGAATTTTATCAAAATATGGGAGGTAAAAGCAATTCATTTTCAAAATTAGTTGCTCAAATATGAAAATATTTATTATAACAAGATCCTTACAACACAACATATATTGAAAATGTGGATACACTATATATTTGATAGAAAATATGTCATCAAAACAAAAACTATATTCAAGAACTTGTATTGAAAGTTTTATTAATTATATCTAGGGCTCTAAAAAGTATCAAAATGGTACCAATATATAATAAATTTAATATATGAGTTGTGATCTACTTAAGGATCCTAATAATTCTCTTCAATTCTGTATTTAATTCTTGAGTTTATATTAAATTTAATAGGTGGGATTAGGAATCACGAAAAACCAATCTGAAACTGTATGCACAATGTTGATCATCCGTTGGATTGTGCATACAGTTTCGAATCAGTTTTTTGTGATCCCTAGGTAAGATATACCCCACCATTATTTTTAATAATATTCTGAATCTTATGCGATTTCCTGTGATTCTGTTTGATTCTAATTTTCAGAACTATAGATCTACTCATATAATTTTATAGTAAATTTAAGTATTGAACTGGTATCATTAGAAGTCCTAATTGTATCTCAAAATACAAGCAATAAAAGAATTTTTTTTGTTTTAGGATGGTTTATAAATAAACAAAAAACAAGATAAATATTTACAATTAGTCTGAACTATACTTCAGAATAAAAGATATTAAAGTATTTTATATATATAAATATAATAAATTTAAATTTATTTTATTAAATTTTAATAAATTGTATTAAATTGTATAAAATTTAAAAAATATAATAATCAATATTTTGATTTTAATGACTGGCATACACCATGTTTTATTAGAAAGAATTTACAGTACATGTATATTCCCTTTATAGAAACTGACTACTACCTATCTACATCTGATGAAACTACCTAGGGAAAGCTCTTATGACTTACCCACCGGTCAGTTTATTGCCCTCCATTCTTCCTATATTATCAATACCGGGGTTCTGATAGCATAGGTAGAGTACTAATGTGCCAGGATATGCGCCTTCCAGTCCTACCTACCATCCAATGAATAGAAACTCAAAGAACCGTATCCTAATACGATCAGTCGCAGATCTAAGCCATATCCACAAGGAGTCTTTGTGGCTCTAGCTACGGTCACTTGAAAATCGGGGGTTGTTTCTTTTATA